TAAAAGTGATGTACTCTGGAAAGTAGCTCTGGGGTTTTAAAATGTTACTCTTTCTATGGTATAAGGGAAAGGTCTGGTCGCCACTGCCAGGAGTTGGCCCGTAAAGGTGACCTTATGTTACTTCCCACAGTAAAGGGAAGGATCTAGTCGTCGTGGCTAGGACCATAATAGAAGTAGCACTGGCTTTGAAATGTCACATGGGATGAATTGAGGAAAGTAGCACGAAGTTAGGAAAGTTACATAAACCAAAAGTAGCACCAATCAACCTTCCCCTTTGTTGTCCTTCACGTGCGATGGAGAGGGAAACTAAGCGATGAGATTAAAGCATCACAAAACTGTCTTCCCACGCGTGCAGTCGTGTCCTTCTAGATTCCCATCGCTGTGGGGTGGTTCCTTAGCCATTTGCACCACGCGGCTCCACCCCCTATTACCTCCCACTCCATGGCCAGTTCATTGTCTAGCTCCCGCTCCAAGGCCAGTTAATCCCACTCCTGTTCTTGCTCCTACTCCATGGCTAGTTTGTCGTCTAGCTCTTGTTCCAAGGCCAGTTCATCCACTACCATTCCGGCTCCATGGCCATATCATCCTACTCTCGTTCTCGCTCACGCTCCCCCACCCATTTTCGCTCCATGCACGATAGTCGCCCCTCCCACTCCGTTATGGCTTCATGCATCCGACAATGATAGGTCGGTGGCTACATGGCCTGGACTATCCTCACGTCCTCTAGCATGATGGTGGAGCGTTTTCTATGAGAGGTATACCCCCGTGAGGACCGTAAGCACCTACTCGTTGGTTTATACACGTGGTATAGGGTGATCGGCCGAGGTAAGACGACCCTCATGTAGATACGCATCAGCGACCGGTGCCTTCATTTTCAGCTGCGTCGACAGCATCCCCGATGACCTCAAGCACTTTCTTAAGCATGAGGACCACATATTCCTCGGCATTATAGTCGCCAATGACTTTGATTGGCTATGGGAGGACCACCAAATCAAGCTTTTCAAGACAGTGGAGCTTCAGGCCATGGTGCCATTTGTGATAAAAAGGGCAAGTGGTAGAAGGCGCCAAACCTCACGACCCCCGTGCAATATGTGATGGCCGTGGCCGTGAAAAACAAAGATATCGATGTACGTACATTGGTATCTTTGTTTTTCACGGCCACGCCCATCACATATTGCATGGGGGTCGTGAGGTTTGGCGCCTTCTACCACTTGCCCTTTTTTATCACAAATGGCACCATGGCCTGAAGCTCCACTGTCTTGAAAAGCTTGATTTGGTGGTCCTCCCATAGCCTTCTGACACTCGTCCTTTTTTAATCACGAACGACACCATGGCCTGAAGCTCCACCGTCTTGGAAAGCTTGATTCGGTGGTTCTCCTACAGCCGACTGAAGTCATTGACGACCGCGACATCGACAAAGACGCGGTCCTTAGGAGCAAGGAAGTGCTTGAGATCGTCAGGATGTTGTCGACGTGGCATATCTGGAATAGAAGGCACTAGTCACCGATGCATATCTACATGAGGGCCGTCTTATTCCGCCCAGCCATCGAGTACCACTTGAGGTCTAAACCAACGAGGTGGTTCCTATGGTCCTGGCGGGGGTGGATCTCTTGCAGAAAGCGCTCCACCGTTGTGCCTGAGGACGTGGCCATAGTCTGGACCATGTAATCTCTGACCTTGATCATTGTCTCATGCGTGGAGCCAAAACAGGAGTGAGAGGGGCGGTCATCGTGCATGGAGCCAAAACGGGTGGGAGAGTGGGAGCAGGAATGGAAGTGGGACAAACTAGCCTTGGAGCAGGAGCTGGACGACGAACTAGCAAAAATCGGAGCAAGTTGAAAAACTAGCCTGCTAGGCTGGTTTATGCGGTTTTCAGTAGAATTCGCTCTAGAAAATTCAAACGAGCTCCAAACATTCTAAAACATGGCACACACCTTGACTAACCTATTTAGAAACTATCCCGAGAGATCAAATCAAAAAGATCAAAACTTGAACAGGAGTTTCAAAATCCTCCTCAAATTAGGGTTTATACAAGATTCCTCAAATGATGATTTTCTAGGTGCTCCTGGGAAATTAGTTAAAACCAGATTGAGATAAGTTCCCAAGGTGTCATAGCACATAAAGATCAACCACGAACAACCCAAAACCTTCAGCTCAAAGATCGAGCTTATAACATAGCCAAACTGGTAGATAAAAAATCACCCAAAAATGATCACAAAAATCACCAAAAAAGAAAAAATCGGAGAAGGGAAAGGATGAAGTACTACAAATTTCAGCCAACAACTTGATTAAACCATCATGAAATATTCTTTACAAGACCATGTCTAGCCTCTTTCTTCATCCTCCCACTAGAGATGGAAAATTAGAGCAAGATGTGCTTATCTCTCTCTACTTCTAATCTCCCTCACAAGAAACACTTGGCTAGCCTAAGGAAATAACTTTGGGGTGGAAGAGATGCCTGTCCTGGGCAGCCACTATACTTATATGGTTATTACACAATTCCAAGAGTGCCCCTAGGTTTAGGCTTGAACCACTTAGCAACTGGGGCGAAATGGTCCAAACTGATTTCCATACATCGGACGACCGTGAGCCCTTCATGAAGTCGCTTCGCCTCAACACAAGCTCTCTGATGACGTCATGTGCGCCCGAGATCATCCCCCGAGTTTTGAGACCCAAACCCGGCAAACCTACCACCCTCGGGGTTGAGGCCAAAACCTCCAAACCCACTTGGAGTCGCATAGCCACTGTGCCTTCTCCACGATGTCGATGCGTGTCCCGTTCTTCCTGAACCGACTGATCACCAAGTATTTGCGTGCCCGCCTTGAATTGATCTAATCGTTGTCTTGTCTTCGATCAACACCATCTCCATCACCATCCTCGCATGTACACTTGCTTGTTGACGTGTCCAAGTGCTAGCCATCCATGGTCCATCCTTCGGCCCTCTGTCCAAGCCTTCGCGTCCGCCCTGCACTACTCCCGGCCCATCGCACATGAACTCCTCGGTCCTCGCTTGACCTTCTCCATTGCTGTTGATCGTCTCACGCTCAACACCTACACATCACAAAGCCAAGAGACATGCTGCATCACAACTCACTCATGCCATAGTTAGTCTCAGTGTATAACGCACACTTAACTAAAGCTCCGATCACCTCATTGACAATCACTCATCACTCACACATGGACACATATCAACCATGTGTTTGCACACATCATCACATCTCTCTCTCTCTTCTTGTTCTTGTATTGTGTGTCTGAATTCTTGAAGGAAGGAACGCAGATTAGGAACGACTATAACAAACTGGGATCAGCCAGCACCTTGAGTGTGCACAGCTGGCTTGGCTTCCGTGACTTGTTCCAGAACCTGAAAGTGAAAGCTTGCCTAGTTTGACTTTTGGATCGTCACATTCACAGATTCACCTCTTGTCGGTCGCTCTGCAGCCTGCTACTCGGTTTCTCATGATTTGAACATTCGCTGACAGTCAATTTTTCCTTCCGTATCCTTTTATTTCCAGAGACAAGCTGCAATTGTTAATCCGATATATTACTACTATTATTATTAGTTTGGAATTTGGAGGGGAAAAAAGATATGCCTGCTAGTATGCATGAGTAGTGCGTAAGACATGACAGCAGCACACAGCAGGGGGCCTGATTTGAAAAGGTAAACTGAATTTCCATTCCACTGGCGATTCAAACAAAGCAAATGTCACTTCGGTTCCTACCCAGCTGCTAGCTGGTTTTGTTTTGGTACGGTCGTCAACGGGTCGGTCATCCTTTTCTTTTGGCCTTTTCTACACGCATGAGCGATGGTTCACTTAAAAAAGATACGCAGCCTGTTCGGCTGGCCTTATACGATCATATACGATCGTGGATTATAAGCTAGAACAGTATTTTTCTCACACCAAACCAGCCAAATCAGCTAGCAGTAAATAATGTACGATCGTTTAGTTATTGAAACGAATAGGCCGATGGTTCCAACCCAGTCTGCAGCCCCAATAAAGAACACACAGGCGAAGGCCAAATTTTCTACACGCATGAAGAATCAAAGCGAAAGAGAATCTGAGTATCATCATGCATCACTTAAAAAAGGACTCCATCGGTACGCAGGACAAATGGAAGCCAAAAAGCATAGAAGCTTCTTCACGATACAAAATACTTTACTTCGTTTTGTAATCTTTGAATTGCTACGTTACGATACTCTCCGGAGTTTCTAGAACCACAAGGCTTGTCAGAGAACCTTGAAATTTCTGTGTGTTCAGAGGATTTCTACTTGTCAGAGAGCCTCGGAATTACAATTAGACTTTCAGACTTCAGATTTGATTACGAATACTGTGCTTCACTAATATGTATTTATGAGTTCAAATACTAATTCGTCACCACATTTTCTTGTAATCAAAGTACCTCAGAACAATCGTTTGGTCGTATGTTTGTGAGGGAGATTATTTGACAAACACGTTAGAAAGATAACTGAAATTGTCAATTATTTGCAAACTAAGGAAGAGTACCTGGCAAACAGAGCGGTGTCCGCCTTATAGTCCGCACACCAATCATCGGCCACTTCTAGAAGCCTGATTTTCAAGAATCTTCTAGAAGCCTTTTAGGGCCTGTTTGGATCCACCCAGATTTTAAGAATCAGGCTTTTAAAAACTACGTAGGATCCAGACAGACCAGTTTTTTGGGCAGTTTTTAAAATCTAACTACCCAGATTCTTAAAAATCCATAAGCTGATGAGACCCATCTGTTGCCAGCTTTTTTTTTCACAAATACCCCCTTTGCCCTCGTTAAAGACCGCGCCAACCCTTCCACTACCGCACCGCCCTTCTTTCCCTGCCGCCGCACTCGTTCCCGTTTCCGATCACCTGCCGCACTCCTTCCTTCCCCTGCCGCGGCCTGCCGAAGATGGATGTGGGCGGAGGTGGCGACGACGACCTCACCTGCTGGGAGGAGAACTCCTAGGCTTCGATTTGTAAGGCGGCGTCGGGTCGTACGGTGGCCGCGACGACATGGCTGCTGCCAGATCCACCGGCTTCAACCTCAACTCACAAGCCATGGACCTCGACGACGAGGTACCGTTCATGGATCTGCTCGGCCAGTACTCCGTCGGCGCGTTTGGGGAGGAGAGCGAAGGAGGGTGCGGGGCCAGCCGCTTCGTGGAGACCGGGCGCGGTGCTCCTCTCGCGACGGCGGGGCGCGGTGCTCGACGTAGGGGTGCGCCCACGGTAGGTGGCCGCGGGGCCGGGGCTGGAACTGTGACGGCGACGAGCGCTGGTGGACGCGAGGCCTTGGCCGCGGCAGCTGGGGGCGGTGGTCCTCTCGCCGCGGCTGCAGTGTCGGTGCCGGCGCCTTCTTGTGGGTCTTCGTCAGTATCAAGGAGCTTCCGCCCTCCTCGCCCGGTGATCAGTATCAAGGGTACTATCAGAGCCCTGAACGCGCTTGGCTTGGCTGCATGCACGACGTTGGTGCATGGCTGTTTAAGAGCAATAAATGTAAGGGTACAATCTATTAGCACCTATCATAAATAAAGACCAGCTTTTAAAAACTAGGGATTCAAACAACCCACCAGACTTTGCTCATAAACTAGATTTTAAAAACTAGAGCTAATAATAGCTAGTTTTTAAGAATCTAAAACTGATCCAAACACTACCGGAGATCGGCTCTTTGCCGAGTGTCAAGTGGTTTGTCGAGTGTCAAGTGGTTTGCCGAGTGTTGTTTTTCGGGCACTCGGCAAAGACGTCTTTGCCGAGTGTTTTTTTTTTACGCTCGGCAAAGAACCTTTTTGCCGAGTGTTTTTTTGACACTCGGCAAATAAGCTTTTTGCTGAGTGTGTTTTTTTACACTCGGTAAAGAAAATTTTAAAGCACATTTTGATGTAGTAAATTAATTCAAATGAAAAAGTTTTCAACTACAAAGTTGTATAACTCGTCAAGATGTATAATGTTTGTTTTGATCTTTTCTTCATATGACAAAGTGAAAGTAAATTTATTCACAAATCTAACATATCTCTCTTGTAGTTTCATAAACTACAAGAGAGATATATAAGATTTGTGAATAATGTTAGAACGATCATGTCGGATGAACAGATGACTAAACAACCAAAATAAACTTTGTATATCTCGAAAAGTTATGAAACTTTGTAATTGACAACTTTTTAATTTGAAATCATCTTGTCATGCAAAACTGTGTTTGAATTTTAAATTTTAAAATTCGAATTTTTCAAACGACCTCGGATGGAAAAACAACCAAAATAAACTCTGTAGATCTCGAAAAGTTATGAAACATTGTAGTTGGCAACTTTTTGATTTGAAATCATCTTGTCATGCAAAAATGTGTTTGAATTTTAAAAATTTAAAATTCGAACTTTTCAAACGACCTCGGATGGAAAAACAACCAAAATAAACTCTGTAGATCTCGAAAAGTTATGAAACATTGTAGTTGGCAACTTTTTGATTTGAAATCATCTTGTCATGCAAAACTGCGTTTGAATTAGTGACAGTGTGGTGTAGTGGTAGAGGAGGTTCGCGCGCAGTGGGAGGTCGCGGGTTCGAATCCCGTCGGCCGCGTTGCTGCGAAATTTACGCGAAAAATGCCAGAGATGGGCGGGCGCTGGCCGGTGGGGGCCTCCATCGATTAAAAAATTTTCCCATTTTTTTCCCATTTTTTTCGGTTCCAACTTTGCCGAGTGTCGAGCACTCGGCAAAGACTTTGCCGAGTGCCCGATAAAAAGCACTCGGCAAAGAATTCTTTGCCTACGGATTTTTTACCGGAGGCTCTTTACCGAGTGCTGCACTCGGCAAAAGCTTTACCGAGGACAAAATAGCCTAGGCACTCGGCAAATCGCCTGAATCCGGAAGTGAAATATGCCCTTAGATCGATGATGCATGCAGCTGTGAGGTTTGAACTACATCTTTCCCAAAGTCATTAAAGCAATGGACCTGTTAGGATTTGATAGGGATTCTATGAATCTACCTGTTAGGATTCGATAGGGACGGTAGGAATCTCGATTTGGGCTAGGGATTATAGATCATGGATTATGGATAAGAAAAATGTGTAGGTTTGGATCCCTTCATTATAGTTTAAGATTATAAGAGCTACCCTATAAATTATCTTAGGAGAGTACCTTAATCATTTTAGAATATAGAAAAGAATACATGTGCATCGTCTGTTTTTAGAGTATCTCCAAGAGTCATCCTAAAATTCACTTTCTAAATCATTATATGGAGAGATATTTGCATAAAAACTATTTCTATATCTTTTTATTTTTCAATAGTTTTTCTACATCTCATTTGCACTCTAGAGAGCCATTCTTATTTTTTTATCTTTAGCTAGCAAGAAATTAAGAATAAAAGATATATTTGGATAATCAATTAAAAAAGTTGTCGAAGTGTATTTTTAGTATGTTCTCATGTCAGTTCTTTTTTTGTTCCACGAAAAGCATAGGAGACGACGAAAACTTCTTCCCGGCCAGTGCAGTACAAAATAACGTGGCATTGCACGAAATCTTTTTTACTTCCTTTTGTGATCTTTGAAATGCAGTATGATACTTTCCAGAGAGTTTCTACAACGAGAAGAACCTAGGAATTTCTATTTGCTCATCAAAGTATTCGTCTCCTCTTTACAAAATACTTACGGCTTAGACATTCGGACTTCATACTTGACTACAATTACCCATAAGATACTGTACTTCGGCCCTAAAAAGCAATTCAAGTTTTTCCTAAGTCAAGCCATATTAAATTTGGCTAAATTCATAGAAACTATTATTTTCAATTTATGATACTAATTAGTATCATTAGATTTATCATGACATATGTCGGATATCATAAAAAGGGGTACCCTAAGCGAGAACCGAAAAAATTGCTTAGACCTTGTAAATAACGAAACCAAAATATAACCGCAGGCAAACCCGCCACGTCCGAGGCCTGGCTGGACCGCTCGGCCCGCCTCGAACAAATATCCGGGCTCGACCGATGCCCCACACCGCAAGGTCTCGGACTAGGTACCGGCTCGTCCGAGGCTCCACGACGCAAGGCCTCGGACGGGGTATCGATTCTCCGACTCGCCCGAGGCCCCGCGCTACGAGGCCTCGGACGAGCACCCAGTTACCGACTCGCTCGAGGCCGGCTCGGCATCAACCCTGTCACCGCCGCTTTGACCGACTTCTCTGACGGGACGTCACATCCAACTAAAGCGTTCAACCACTCCCACAACGTCAGCCGCATGACCGCATGGTACGGCAGAGTGGCCAACGAGACGGAAGTCACATTAACGCCCTGCCATCCGGGACAGGACGAGGCGGGGGTTACCGGCCGCTGTGCTTGGCACTGTGCCCACGGCTGACGTCCGTGCTACGCTGTGCTGCCTAACCCCTGCTCTAAGGACAGCGCGACATGGAAAGTCACGTCCAGGTCCATGTAGCCTCGGAAACGACGTGCAAGGCCAACTGCTCCCTCCGAGCCTCGACTACCCGCTTCCGGGCTCCTGTAGTCTCGGGACTCGCGCCCGCCGAGCCCCCCACGACGGACCATCCTCTGCATCGACTGGGCCTCGGCTCTCTACGTTGTCAGCGCTCTAGGACCGGCACGTCGCCCGCAAAGACGCGCCATGCCATGCCCTCGCGCCAGTCGCAAGAGCTCCCACGTCGTGCATGTGGCCTAGCCTCGTAGCCTTCGAAAGCGTATTCCACGCCATCGCATCAACCCGACCTTGGCACTCCGCGTCGGTCAAACATACAGTGACCATCACGTCTCCAATAGAAGAAGGCGCGCCTGCCACCGCAGGAGCTCCCACATCGCACAGGATCGGGCGTGACCGGCACGTCGCTCCAGTGCACGAAGGACAAAACCGCTCCACCGACCACACCGCCACAGTGACAAGCTACAGGGCTCGGACATGCCGCCCCTGCCGAAGGACGCCACGTAGCAAATACATGTACCGCCCCTGTGCCTCCCTTCGACTATAAAAGGGAGTGACCAGGGCCGCTCCTAGGCATCGGATGATCACACACACATGGACACCCGTTCAAGCGACGGACAACAACACTCTGCAACCCACACTACAATTCACAGAGACCTGGGACCGGCTCCCTCTCTCGCTCAGCTTGTAAGCCCCTACTACAAGCACCTCGGTGCAAGGAATACAAGATCGCTCTCTCAGACTAGACATAGGGCACCTATTGCCTGAACCAGTATAAACCTTGTGTCTCTTTCCATCACCATCCGGGATTGCGAACACGTAGTACACTTTCACTAGTCGGTTGAGGGCCCTCCGGTCCAAAACACCGACAGTTGGCGCGCCAGGTAGGGGGGACTGTGTGTCAGCTTAGTCATCCCAACAGATTTCTGATGGCAGACCCCGTGCGACCACTGTGTCTCGGCACGATGATCTGGTTTGGGAGCCTAGAGTTCATGTCTCTAGGATATGAGTACGACATGGTACTCCTCCCACCCAGAGCCCCATCGACCAACGACGACATCACGCTCCAGCAGCCTAGGCGCAGGCGACGCCCGGGCCGCCGCTCTCGTCGCGCTCGCCTGGCGCGACGCGGGCGGGACCACCCCAACACCACGAAAGTTCAGGGCGATGCTCTGCGCCCCGCCAGTTTCCCACACCCGACTGTTGGTGCAGAGTCCCTGGCTGGGGACCTGTCTAGCTTAAGCCTGGGCAAGGGAAAGACGCTGGTGGCGTGCAGCGACACCCCGTCATCAAGCCCTGCCCCGCCACCTCCTGAGGAGCCGACTCTGGTGAAGCGAAGCCCGGCGACGACATCATCCCCATACCCTTTCGGGTTGAGCAATGCCGCCACCGCCTATGCTTCCGCTCACACAGAACCCCCAGGATGCCATCAACGTTCTGCCCTCGACCTCATTGCCACAACTTCGACCCACGCCCACGCTAACTCCTCGGAGGAGGGCGAGGCGTGGGCCAGAGCAGAATTCTTCGGGCTTCACGACCCTGAAGCTATGCGCCGCTTCATGGTCGCGAGCGACTACTGCTTCGGCTACTCCGACTCCGATGACGAGGACACTTACGACCCGACTCATGAGTGCTTCAACGTCGAGCTCGGGATGCCGAACGCGGGCGACGAGGACGAAGGGGCAGGCAATCGCTCCCCGTCCCACGTGGGGGCAGGCAACGCCACACCGCCACGCGCCGAGCCCCCGCCAGCGCGGGATGATGTCCTCGCCCCCGAGGAACTTCGACGCCTAGACCTGGAGCAGCTCCGTAAGCTTCAAGCCAAGGTCGAACAAGACTGACTCCTTCTGCAGCAGCTCCGAGACACTCTCGAGCGAGGGCAGCGGGGTCGCGGCGATGGCGGAGCAGCCTGGCAGAGGGCTCGCGACGTCAACCACCGCATCAACAACGACGAAGGGGGCGAGCAACCCCCTATCTTCATCACCCCATTCGGCATGTACTGCTATGTGGCTATGCCATTCGGTCTTAGAAACGCAGGAGCCACGTACCAGCGGTGCATGACCCAGGTCTTTGGCGA